ATCACGTGTTAGAATGGCTTCCCACAGTCCTTTACTTTTTAACTCAGGCCTTGCAGCTTAGAAACTTTACAATGCCCGGTCTTTTACATTTTAACTCAGGCTTTGCAGCTTAGAAACTTTACCCTTTCAGAGCATCTTATGCTAGGCAATCTGAAAAAGGGATTATATTCCAAGGGGACAAATTCCAGACCTTTGAAAAACACTTCTGGGCTGTAAACTTCGGCATTTTTTTTTAAGCCTCTAAGAAATTTTACATGTGTATCAAATGTTATGGGAAGAATTCAGAAGCACTAGATTACTTGTGACACTGCTCCAAGAAAAAGGAAACGAAAAAGGACCCTTTGGGCAAGGAAAAAATTTTTTTTCATTTACTTTTTTTTTTTGGTATTTGGAATTGAATCCAGAAGGGCTTTACCATTGAGCCACATCTCCAGCCCATTTTATTTTTTGAGTCAGGGTTTCACTAAGTTGCGTGGGATCTTGATGGTTTTCTGAGGCTGGCCTTGAACTTCCAGATCCTCCTGTCTCAGCCTCCCCAGTCGCTAGAATTACAGGCATGCACTACCATACCCAAGCCCCACTTACTCTCTCTCTTTTTAAAAAATATTATTTATTTGTCAATAGACCTTTAATTTATTAATTTATATGCGGTCCTGAGAATTGAATGCAGTGCCTCCTATGTGCTAGGCAAGCGCTCTACCACTTAGCCACAACCCCAGCCCCTCATTTACTCTTATAGAGTTTATGTTGTTTGCTAGAGACTTATAGTTAATAAGAAGAGAATTTCCATTTGAATCTAGAGTTGGAGCCTCAAATCTGTGTTCATAATCTATGTTGTACTTTTTTTTATTCATAGAAAATAGTCATGTATGTGGTTTGAGGAACACTTTCAAGAATGATGACCATGGCCAGCTGATAGACCCAACCTGATCTTTTATTAAAATTGGGAGCCATCTTGCCACAAAGCCATGAAAAGCTAATTTCGGCTTTACTATAAATTACTGCAAATTCTGAACCTGCTTGGAATGCCTGCCCGTGCCTTGAACTCACCCATGCCTGGCTCTCTGACCAGATAGCAGCCCTCTCTGAAACTTTAG